ACTTCAGTCAGAAGATTTAAAGAATTTCTTAAAATTTAATAATCAGCGATTCGTTTTGAAAAAAAAAATGGTTTTCCTTGCTCTTGTAGCCGATCTACAGGAGTACCTACCGAAAAAAGGTGTCTGGCGATGAAAAAGATTTTTCTACTTAAAATTACTTCTTCGATTTTTACCTGACAAATATATCAAAGAAGGTCGTGGGAACGTTTCATGTCGATTGGTACGGTCGTTTCGGAGAAATTTTCCGCATAGCTCCGAAACCATTTTCCGTATCAACTTCAAATTTTGGGTGAATATTTTCCAATATTTATGAAATCGTTATATAAGCAAAAACAAAACAATTTCTTCTAATTCGCAAATGAATATAACAGCTTAAGTTACTTTACATCTGGTAAACTTCATAGGTCTATATAAAAAATTAAAACAAAAAGTTCGCATGTGTTGAGATGAAAATATAATTATAAATAAAGATACAAGAATTAACAAAGTTCACAAATTTCATACAACAGGTGGACCGAAAAGTTGGTATCCTTTAATGGAAAAATATATTTTTAATCACAATTTGATTTAAATAATCGTTATGGTTGCTATCCGGGGTGGTATACCGATTATAGTGACCTTTCGACTTCTCGGTAACATATTTATAGTACGACTTGTATATTATTTCGAATAAGGCTGCAGTTTTTGCGATTACTCCTTTACTGTCGCAAAATTTATTTCCGGGAGCATTCTCTTCAGTTTTCAGAACTTCAACCAACATTCTGGTGAACATTTTATTCTACTTTAAATTCATTTCGTTCACGTTCAGATTACAATGATGATTCCTTCAGTATTAAAATGCTCTAAAAACTATAAACCGTGAAATTTCTCAGAGACATTTAGAACATAAGGAATATGTAAGAAAAATAAGAAATAAATAATTTACAATTTAAAGCTAAAATAGGCAGGCGTACTTTGGATTAGATTGGGCATGCTTTGCATAAACAACAGGATGAGATCTTCAGACAAGCGCTAGAGTGGCACGCACAAGGCAGCAGGAACCGCAGGAGGCCTAAGCACGCGTGGAAACGCAAGCTTATAAGGCACAGAAAGGTCTATCAAAAAATCGTAATTATTGGAATCATTTTACTGCTCCTTTATGCTCTTCAAGGAGCCAGGCTAACTAAGAAGAAGAGAAGAAGAAAATTGGAATATAGCTGTGCTGACACTACCCACCATGCTGTGAACAAAAAAACATGGAAATCAATAAACAAAACATGATTAGAAAATTAAAATAGTTAGATTTCGGGCGTCGCTTGTTTTTACGAGCTAGATATTTTGTATTAAAATATTTTTACAATTTTGTTATCAAACATTGATATCGTTAATTTTTACACGCTTTATAATAAAAATCAATAATACCATGTTATTAACTAAGGTTATCGTTATGCACTGCTTCAAAAAATCTGGAGAAGAAAGTCCGTATTCATATGCGACATGTATACATTTAAGAAGTACATTCCAGATATATGTATATATATTTTTTAAGCACCCTAATTAGCAATTAATAAATTTTATAATTATTAGGACTATTTATAAGCGACTTATAAGTTTATTACAAAAATAAATTATTTTAGTTATGGCGCTTCAAAAACAAATAAGCATGTACATATGTATGTATTCGTTCGTTCAATATGCCTATATGTACCTTTTTGCTTTATTTCATTAAAAATGGCTGACCACATACCTACATATGTGTGTAATTTTTTATTGTCTCTCATATGCCTACATATATTATTGTATTTACTATTACTTACTGCTAACACTTATTTTAAAATAGTTGTGCTTCGTACTGCTAGGGCATTTTATTTACCTAACCTATATTTCTACTACTTATTTAAGCCCATTTTTTTAATACTAAATTTTTTTATACTAAATTTATTTATTTGCAATTCAAATCTTTATTACTTAATTTAAATTTTTTATGTTACAATTACAGCTATTAGTACGTTTTATTGTCGGAAAAAAATGTATTACAATGTGTTTCTTTCATTCTTATTGTCTTATGTATATGTTTCAATTCTCTTGGAGAAGAAAATATATATCAATTTTGTAATATCCTTATGAATTATGATAAAAATATTTTTGATTAAAACACTTCAAACTCATTCAATGATGTTATAACGATAATGACAAGAGTCATGATAAAAATAATAACAATCACACTAATAATCATATATCATAAATAATATTAGCAATTAAAACTAATTTCACTATCATAATTAAAGGATAAATTTAGCTGAAAGTCCCTTTGGAATGAGCTTTGAATAAACCGGATAGATCGCGATATTGAAAACTACCACTTAAACCCTGTAAAGAGGCAATATTTACGCTGCTGTGTGGTACAGAGAACCTATTGCTTATACTACCGTTAATGATCGGTACAAATTTAATTTTTTTTGTTTTTGCTATACATTCAATGAGGAAAAAAATGTATGCAGCTTAAAAATGGACTAGACCAGTATAAAGAGAATGTTTTCATACAAAGAAATTTTTAAAAATAATGACGAACCGATTTATGCTAATTGTTTGTTCGATTGTACCATGTCTTGACGAATCGAAACTAGCCTTTTGTGTTCATCCTGAAGACCATAAAATGAGGTCTGAGTAATAGGAAAATTTGCTGAAATTTTAAAAGAAACGTAGCTGATTCTGAGTAAATTCAGTTAAATCTTTTTTTTTTTGTATTAGAAAAACGATTTTAGCAATGTTATTGGACATGATAAATAATACCAATTATAATTTATTATATTAAAATATAAAATATAATATATAAAATAAAACGCATAATAAATATAAGGAAACTTTTGATATCATAAGTTTTAAACTCTCCTTCGAAACTCCCAATAGAACATTTTGTATACTTTAAGGGATTTCATCCAGTTGTATGTCAGAAAAAACGCGTTTTTTGTATATTTTTCTTTCGAAGCGGCATATTATGTTATAAAAAAGTAAACATAATGCACATTTACAGAATTCAATGTACTATAATCATCGGTGATTTATTTTGAAATGTTTTGGGTTCACTTGGTTCCCTAGCTGATCTTCAGGAGGACATCCGAAATATGGTGTCTGGCGGTGAGGAAGATTTTTCTGCTTAAAGTTCTTAAAGTCACCACAAACCTTAGAACCAGAAAAAAAATATATATTAAAAGAATAGATGAATACAGATATTGTTTGAAGCCCTTATTAAAAATTTGAATTTTTGATGAAATAGCGGTTTCCCAAAATAAGGTCGTTTTGGTTAAAAAAAAATGTACACTTCAGGGTGGCTTAAAAAATCGAAATGATTATCGAAAATTTTTTTCATTTGATCACTATCAGACAAATACATATAACTAAGATGATCGTGTGTAAATTTCAAGTCGATTGGTCAAGCCGTTTCAAACAAAATTTTCCTCACCAACAGCGTTTCGACAAACACACGTTTAGGGACCTATTTCTTTTGCCGGAACTTCTGAAACTATTTGCCGGATAAACTTCAAGTTTTCAGAGATTACTTTTAGAATAAAAATTAAGTTTTTTTGTAAAAATGATTTTCATATACAAATAAAAATTGGATTTTTTTAAATTCATATGTGAATATTACCGCTTAATCAGTACTCCACTTATATTATGTTATTTTTGATTTAAAGTACGAAATTTTTAATTTTAGTAATTTATTAGAATAAAAATGTTATTTTAATTTTTTAGATCATAAAATAAACCTCTTCACGTTTTTAAATAATTTTTTTTTAGTGTTTAATGAAAAAAAAAATATTTGTAATTTCATAGAATTCCAAAATAATATAAGATTTTTAAATAATTTTTTATTTCTGAAATCGATTTCAACAATACGAATACAAGAATTCGTATACAATTTTAACATAAACGAAATAAAACAAATAAATTTAAAATTTAATTTTAGTAATTTATTAGAATAAAAATGTTATTTAAAATTTTTAGAACATAAAATTTATAGTAAAAATTATACTAATTATTTAAATATATATATTTTTATATAAAAAAAAATGTTAACAGATAAGTTTTTATATCAGAAAATAGTGATTTAAACGTATATTATTTGCAAATATTAAACAGCACATATATACGGATTGATATACATATGTATAATTATGTGGATCATTTATTTTTTATGCAACTGGGTAAACGTAGAAAATTTGAAGCTTGCCACCATTATTTCAAGAGTAGCAAAATATGCGGGTAAGCATGTGCTGTAGGACAATTTATTTTTGTTAAAAAAAATTATTAAATTAATTTATGCAAGCAGCACAGTATAAGTTTTAGAAACCTACGTACATACATGCACAAATATATATTTTAAAGATTTTTTTTCAATTCATCTATGTACGTCTGTATGTATGTATTTAGTTGTGTATATATAAAGTTAAAGTACATTGATTAGCGTAAATTTCAAATATTACATTTGCACTTTACAATAGAGATTTCTTATTATTGTCTCACATTAACATTATTTACTTTAAATAACTATATTTTAATTGAACAATTTCTTTATACAATTCGGCTTTAGCAATAAATTTGCGGTTTTTCTTTTGCTTTTTGTTTGCATTGCAACTATTCTCCGTTATTATTGTCTTGTGTCAACATTATTGTCAGCTTAAATACTAAAAACAAAATATTGTCTTTTCAATAATAAAATACATTGTACAATACATAAATATTTTTATAAAAAAGTTTACATCATTAAATTTCAAAAACAGCGTTACGCATATGTATGTATATGTATATATGTAGTTGCGTGTATACATAACTTTATATTACTTTTTTATTCTTACACAAAAAATACATTATTAGTAAGTTATGAAAACCTATAGACCGAAAATACCGAAAATATTTAAAAAACAATTTTGAAAAAAGTCCATACATACATATAGTACAGTGAAATTTTTAAGTAATTATTTAAGGAATAAATTTTTTCTTTTATTAATTTTTAATTTCTATTTTTTTTTTATTTTTCTGTTTGTGTTAAATTTTACAAAATACAAAAAAGTTTGCCGTTACTTAGTGCAACTGCGCCAATTCACCGTTACTCGCCTATATACGCCTATTTATTTATGAATTTCCTCTTGTATGTATGTATGTAAGTACAATGCTCGTTTGGATGTAAGCATGTATGTACTTGCAATCACAACAAACGCACACATTCTCAGCACATCCAACAATCATGCATACTAATTCAACCGTTATTTTCATACTATCATGTTTTTCTTTTTCTTTTTGTTTTGTTTTTCTTTAATCTTAAAATTATTGTCAAGATATGTTTTTAGATGATATTAGCCTGGTATTTTGGTTAGCAAAACTTTCAGTTTGTTGAAACTTTTTGAAGTGAAAATGTTTGAAGGCCAAGCGAATGCGCAAAATTTGCTGACATTTTTAGTGACAATATTTTTGTATTTTCAAAAAAATAAATAATTTTCTTTGTTTAAAACCCAAATTTTATGTTTTTTTTAATATTTATTATTTTTCTACTTTACTTTGCTTTTGTTGGTTTGTAAACGGATATGCTACTTATAAATATATAAAAGTCAATATGCAAATATAAATATGTATGTACATACGTGTGTGTGTGGACCAAAAAACAGAACCGATATGCGCTCTACAAAGATATGCCTTATGTTTTCTCTCTTTCAAAGATATGTTTCCACAGTT